GACTGAAAGACATGAATATGTGACAAGGGTTATTTGGTTATTATTTGAAAAAAAAAAAAAGAAAGTCTTTCCATTTCTATGTGTTTTGTCCCTAATTCAACACCATTTATACCATTTTCTAAAGTACAAGATGATCTGATAAAATGGTTATTTTAGATGATGAAAAAAGATTTTTATAGTTTTATTTTTACCACCAAAGTTCTAAATCAACATTGATGGCTGAATGACAATTCTGAAAACCCTGTCTAAGGGACAAGAAGATAATGTACTCCAAAACTAATGACATTTTTCAATCCATTTAATGCTTTTCTTCCATTACTATTGATCCCAGCGATGTGGAAGGATTAAGTTACGTAATTCAGGTTTGACTTGACATCCGCTTTCATTTCCTTTATGGAGGTGTAAGTCTGCCATATTCCTGACTATATCACATTGCCAGTATTAATTCCTGCACAAGCTATATCGATTACCAAATAAATATCTGTCATTTGTTTCAACATTATATGCAATTAGTATTGTTATTTATGAAGTCAAGTGACTAAAATAGCAATCAAAAGCATGCAACTATATTTTATTCTGAAGAACAATTTTTGACGAGTTTCAGTAATTTTCTTTTTGAAAGAAATAAAACATTGTTAATAAGTATCTGATTACAGTAAAAGGGAAATAACTCCAACTCACAAAAGAGTACTCTTCTCCCTTAAAGCAAAAAATATAATTTTGATTAGTTATATGTCATAAGTAAATCAGATTATATGTTATTTTAAGATTCAAACTGAAACTAAAAAGTCAATATTAGATGAGTAATAACCTTGAAACTTCTTGTGAATAGAGATTGCATGAAGAATTTTACTTATTTTGAAAGTAACAGTTCAAAATATTTCATCAGCTTTGATGTCTAATTCTTGCAACAGATGTTGGAAAAACCTTGAGAATGTGATGTATTTTAAGGTTTTAGACAATATATATTTCAGAATCTTGCAATTGATAAATTTTTGGAAAGAATTTGCAGAATTTATTCATTAATATTTACAGCTGTCAAAAGATGTAGTGAAAAAAAAAGGAATGCAAGATGTTGTCACATATTTCTAAGTTTAAAAGAGATGGTATGAATTAATTTCTATAAAGTAATGTAAAACATATTTATAGAATGTCCTTGAAGTTGATGCTTCATTATACAGATTGTCAAATCAGCGTTGATGGAAAGTTGAAGGTCCAAATTGTCTTTTTTCAAAGAGAAGGATCAGTTTCTGAAATGATTATTTAATGGATAAAAGGCTTACAAATGATGAACAAATTGTAAAGAAATTTGTGCTCTATATATAGCCTTTTATTGTTACGTAACAGTTTACTTGTCCATTTTAAATGATGTTATCTTATAGTTTTGTTGACTAGTATTTATCTTTTGGACTTTTTGTCCAAGTGTTCATATCCTCGGACTTTTGAATATTCCGCCTATTTTTATATACAAAGTAGAACAGGGGTTATCAGAAATAAAGATAAGTCTCTAGATCTAAGGTTCCAATTTAAATGTCACGGAATTCAAACCTTTTTTTTTTCTTTATAATTTATGATACAGTTGGTAGACGAGATAATCTGATTGATCCCAAGTTACATTTATCTGTTGTAATGGATGTTGGTTATACTTGTGAAATCGATTTCATCTCAACTTGATTGCTATTTGTAATTCTGTTTTGTTGTTTGACTGCAGACATGCATTAAGCCAATGTTCTGTAGGATGCATTGATTTGGTAACTTGTTGCATTGGAAAAATCTAATAGATGGGAGTCACATGTAATGTCAATTTCATTAGGAAGCTGCAACAGACTTATTCCTGGCACTGCTATATAAATCTTACAATCAACAATATGATTGGGACTCAATTTACAAATGTAATGAAAAGAAAATACCATACTATTTACATATAGTCTAGACATTGAATAGATCAGGATACAATCTGATAAAAAGCAATCCTACTTAGGTAGGCAGAGAAATAAGTGCATTGCTACATGTTTGTTTCAAATTTTGTCAAATAAACTGTCTTTTATAGTTATATTTGTTAACAAATTATAATAGAGTTGTCTTTGAGAAACAAATTCTATGGTTTCTTGATCTTTCTATTTATTGTGGTTTTGAAGTAATGAAATCATTTTGTATAGTTTATTAAAGCAAAATGAATTGAACAGTAAGCTTGTTATAAAACTGATATGATGAGACCAAAATACATTAAATATTAACTTACATTAGCGAACAGGACTTTTAGTAAATAAACCATCAGTATAGTGGCTCTAAGAGGTTCGAATCCGGCCTGCGACCTATGCTACCTGACGTCTTATTTAAAAGGACCTCAGACCTTCAAAAATATTTTAAAATTTGTTATGTGGATTGCTGTTGCTTTCAAAGAGACCTGAGGAAATTTTTAAATGTGAACTTGTAACCAATTAGTGCTTGTGAGACCCAGAATAGTGTTATCTACTAATAAAAAGTCAATAGTGATACTCTTCATTGGTTGTAAGTCTTGTCTTGCTGAATTTCCTCAGACAATACCTGATTTTCTTTAATTTCTAATTCTAATTATTTATCCACAAATTAAAAGCGTTTTAGAATGTCAAATGACCACCCAATCCTGTTTATATGTACATTTTACTCTGACTTCAAATTTACGATCTTGTATTTTTACTCATTTGACCTCTTAAATCTATGGAGCAGTCTTTTAAACCCCATCTTCTTTTGTGCAGTTTTTTTTTTCATTGCAAATAAAAATAAAATATTATAGAGGAAACTGACTAAAAGCCTTTTTTTTTGCTACACTCTTTCAGAAGATAGCCCCTCCCCCTTTGGTTATATCAAGGTTTTTATTTTTAAATTATAAACATTATAAACACAAGTTTAAAAGTATTGAAGATTCAACATGAAAATACATACCAATTTGAAAGTGATGCTTTATTGCCATGGCAACACAACTGTAAAAGGTTAGGGATTTGGCTAAAGTTATTTTTTTTGCCTTCCCTATGCTATTACAATAATCTTAAAAAAAGATCTTTTTAATTAAGTTTGTAGGTTAGATACTTCACAGAAAGGTTTCAATATAAAATTTAATGATCACTGATAATACAATACTCAATTAAAACCCTTGGCACCTATTGAATTAACTTTTATGTGTGTTGTGTCAAACTCATTAATTAATAAATTGATTAAGTTTACCTCCGATAAATACCTTGACTATGAATTTGAACAAAAACCTTGTACAAAACACTATACATTCAATCCAAAGCACTATCAGATATGTTTAATCAATCAAAATTGTGAATAATTTTTGTATTTGGACAAGATTTGTTCCTGATAATATTTATAATGAAAATGATTGTAAAGTTACGATAAACTTAAGCTGTGAATTGTAACTGGTCTTTTAATAGAGATAGGGCATTATTTGAACAAGTAAGCTTGCCAAGTTTCTTATCAATCTGTTAAACAATGACCATATTTGAGTGTTTAACACAGGTCAAGATATCATTACCCGTGATCCAGTCTTAGCAATCACGGATTTTATTTTGTTGAAATTTAGACGTGAATATTCCTGTGTGTTTTTGTTAATTGCTGGAATTAATTCATCAATGAAGTGATTGTTTGAATATTGTTATAAACAAAAACTGAGTTTTATTCTAAAAATGGAGGTAAATATGAAAGTTGTTTGTCCAAATTTGATTGTTTATTCAATGTAATTCAGCCATCTTAGATGTGTTGGTTTTAGTGGAATGTTCTCTCTTGGGATGTTGGTCTGAATAAAAATAAAGATCGTCATAATTTTAAACAAGGTTTTGTAATATGAATACAAAATTACAAAGCTTTTCTTCAACTTTCCTGATTTTCATTTACAACTTTAACAACTGTTATGAAGGGGATTTGAACTGTCAAGTTTTACAATTATATAAAAAAAAGTTCAATATTAAGAAAAAGGTCAACTACATTTAAAGTTCAACCGCCAAGTAATATATATATATAGCTCCATAACAATTCTTTTTACTTTGAGGGGGAGAAGTCATTTACAATATTGTGTCAGTATCGAAATAGTTATCATGGTTAATATATTTCTTATTGTAAATATTGATATTAGTAGACTAATAGTTTTGAGGGGACAAAATTAAAGGTTTGAATTATGTTTAAAAAGATGGACTAGATTTAAGTTATATTACGCTTAGTTTCATAATTTATAAATTATCAGTGTGTTGTTGATATATTTGATGGGGATAAATGTGTTGCCGGGATTACTGTTATCTTATGTCCAGTCTAAATACTTCAGATTATTTGTGTAACTAACGTGAAATCTTTCTATGTTTTCCCTGGATACTTAGTAGAAAAGAGATTTATCTGATAACAAATCTACTCTTTTCACTTTATCTAAATAGCAAAATTATTTAAGTTTATTCAATTATTATATTTTCTTTTATATGTAAAAGTGAGCTCTTTCTGTTTTAAACAAATCAATAAGTTTTAATCAAAATTTAACAAGGTAATAAGTAAAATTTAAGTAAATGGGAGCCTTAAAAAAAAAAAAATGTATGAAAGTTCTGTTTTTCTTTTTTCCACATACTTTAAGCATGGCTCAGAAAATTATAAAACTGGTCACCTATGAAGCTTTTAATTTTATTATATCTTTAGCAGACAGATTAATAAAACAGCACTTTTCTTGCCTATGTATGTCAAACAAAGCATGGTAATATTAAGGCTCAGACTAAGGGTTATATGCAAAAGGAATAATAGCTTGCTTTATGACTGGGAGATGTAATATTTGTATTTATGATTATTTTGGGGATATTGTATACATGTGGATTTTGTTTTGATAGAAATTCTTCAATTATTTGTATATAAATTTAGAAGATATAATAACATTTTCAAATTTTTTTCTGAATACAATACATGTATTAAGATATTCTTTGAAACAAACATTAACTTTTGATTTGACATTTTACATACAATGTATTCTTCTTGTTTCTTTCCAGGGCAAATGTCAGAGGAAAGACCCTCCATGTAAATATCTTCACCCACCACAACATTTGAGGGAACAGTTATTACAGAATGGAAGAAATAATTTAATTCTAAAAAACCTACAAATGCAAGCTGCAATGCAACCAATGTTGTACAGTCCAGCTGGGATTGTAAGTTATCTCCCTTCATTTGTGCACTGTTGCAAACCCTTTGCTTATTTTTAATTGGTCAGTTTTGTATAGCTTTAGTACATTATTGGATAATTATTATGCTAAAAATCATATAGTTTCTGCTTTGTTTTATATGTTTTATACAATTTTATTTTTAGATTAAATTTTAGCAAACAAAAGATACGCTTTTGAATTTTATGCTTAGCTTTTTAGTTTAACTAATAAATGTTACTGAATTTGTTTGCAACAGATTTAGTAGGATTGTATTTCAGACTGATAAAAGCTAGGCTTATTTTGTGGACGATCACTAAATACCTTTTATAGTACATTTCATTTTGCTATAGCTGTTAATACCTTTTATAGTACATTTCTAAGAAAAGTTTGGCTATATTTATATATTGATTGAAGTCTTGTTATGTGTCTTTAATAGTTTATTTATAATAGTCATGTTTTAATGGCATTACTGGAAATTATTTATTGCATTGATTAAGAAATCATATTTGAAGAGACATAATTTTGCCTTCCTTAAGGTTTATATTCAATATTTATGTTATGCATGTGTTGGTAATCAAATTCACTTTTCCTGCTAGAATTTGCAAGATATTCATAAAAAAAAAAGTTTTAAGGCAAGATTAATGTGTTGCATCAAGGAACGTTTATTTTTCCCATGAAATTTCCTAGTTTAGCTGATGATATCAGATTAATATAGTAATGAGACTAATAGACTTTCCGACAAATCTGGTTGAATTTACTTGATAATAATGTAGGTGATCCAAGGGGAAATAATACAGGCATATTTAAACCAGCTATTTTGCTGAATCAAATGCATCGTTCAATAGTTAATTTCTATGTGTTAAATAATATAAAACAAATAAGAAATAGCTTACAATGACTTTTAACAGTTGCATGATTTTGTTATTTGCATATCATTTTGTTTGTTATTATATAACTAGTACAATGCACTTATTTTAAAGATTTCTGTTTAACTGCACGAATCATACCACTTCTATTAAAAATGGAATCCCTTGTAATAAGTAATGACACAAAATCTTCCAATATCAGTGTATGCACTTTTCTTTTATTGCAATATGTTCTCCACATGTAAACGGTTTTTAACATACAATAGCTGAATTAATATTGTACTATGCTAGATGGCGCTGGTTTACTTTTTTTTATTTTATGATTTTTTTTGTATCTAACAATGCCTCTGATTGGTTGACGTGTGACTAATTGGTTTGCATGTTTTATTAGGCAGCAGGCAGTAAACCTTTGGCACCTTACCACACCATACTACAGGGCCAGTTACCTTTTTTGGTTAGTGGTAATCTTCAACCTTATATTTTTCTTTGTGTGTAAATTTATTCCTTCAATAAAACAGACTTGGTTCATTCTGACATTGAAACATAGAACTCTAGATAATGATGCCTTTATTTGGCCTTATGTTTTTAAGTTATTTCAGTTTTAGTATAGACTTTTTTTAAAGAAAAGTAATTTCAAATTTGAAAACATCTTTATCATTTTATGATTATGCTCATTTTTAAAACAAAACTGAGTAACTTTAGATTAAAATGGATAAAGGGAGATTACTCCAATGATTTGATTTTATAAAAGGGTAAGACTAAATTAACATCATAGATAGGCCAGAGATCTGTTGCTATAGTGGACACTTGCTGCATAAATCTTTTAGGACCAAGTTGCCAACTTCTATCACTATGATAATTATAGATCCTGTCAATTATAGTTGTATTATCTTTTGTAAAAAAGCAGATGAGGGATTTGGCAAAAAAAGAGAGAATTTTAAATACAATGTTAACTTGATGAAAAGTTTGTAGATTATAGAATAATCTGAAATTATCCCAGTTACATCAACTTCTAACAAATGTCAGATTAATGTTCTATTGAGCCTTTGTCAGTTATTTAGAGAATGTAACCCTCTGCAGGAAACTCTTTTTTAAAATTAAAACATAATGGCTCTGTTTTGTTTTCGGGGGGTCATATAATTAAAATAAAAAATCCAACAGTCTGATATATGACAACGCAATAAACAAGATACATATACAACAGATATATGACAACCACTGAATTACAGGCACATACAGAATGAGGCAATGGTTAAACATGTTTGTGAGAGCTCAACCCTCCCCTTACCTGGGACAATTGTATAATAGCATAACTTAAAACAAACTGAAAAATCAGTTTGAAATGGCTTGACTCATTAGATTGACACAAAGCACAATAAACAACTAACCTAAAGACAAAGCACCAATCTTAGAGTACTTGCATTTACTGAAAGATAGTTCAAATCCAATTACAACTATTTGATAAATCATGTTCTCCCAGACTTATCAACCACTACACAACCAATGGAGTAAGTGTTAAGATGTCGTAAACAGTCTGAGAAAAGCTTGACCTTGAGCAATGCCAAACTATATGTATGTAGAAGACCATTTTTTAAAAGGGATAACTTATCAAAGGATTTCATATTTTTTTTTTGTTTAAACCTTAGTACTGTTTATTCAGAAATATTTGCAAAGTTTTTATTATTGCATAAATTGCAAGCAGATAGCTGTCGCAAAAATAAAAACTTGCATTTTTTTTTATTTTGATAACATTATTTGTATGAAGTATTTCCTGATAATTGATTTAATCGGACATCTTTGTCCTTTGTTCATCTATTGTAATAATTAATACAGTTAATTGTGAATTAACAGTACTTCCATGGATTATCTTTCCTTAATGTTTAGAGAACCAAGGCTGTTGAAGGATAACACACTGAATTTTGTAGACTAGTAACTGTGGTGACGGCTTTACATGTGCTTTTAACTTTCTATAAACATAAAGGTCGCAAGCTAGATCATGCCTTGGATGTTGATTCTAGTTTTAAAAAAAGTTAAGAAACATCTGACATGTGCTTAGCAAACAAATACAATAATGATAAATTAGAAGTTTAGACTGTAGAAAACTCTAGTGATATTTTTTGTAGAATAAAAACATTTTCATTCACACATAGAAAAGAAAAAATGAAAATTTCAAGGAAATTTATTTTAACTCAGTTTGAATTTGTTTTAATACATTTTTGTTTTGTTTGTAAAATTAATATTGTGTTGTTTTTTACTTTATTCTGTATTTTACAAACATAACTTTGAATTAGTAGATCTGTTATCTTAAATTTATGAAGCTTTTCTTGTTTACACATATATACTTGCTTTTAGATGTGCTTGAACTACAGCCTTTTATGCTTTTCATATAGAAATATGTAATTTATACCAAGATAATTTTTTGCTTTTATATATACCATTAAACTGTGATGTACATTCATGGTATATAAAGACTGCCATAAATTTCTTAATGAAGTTTACATTGGGATGCTTTGAGTATCATAAGAAATATTGATTTTCTCATTGAATCTATTTTTAGCCGCCGCAGTATGTAGGTCAGCCAATGGCTCAGCCACAGTCAGCAGTGCAGTTCAATCCTTATTCAGTCGGAGTATGTGCCATCCCAACTAGTATGGCATCTGACGGAAGTTTAATATCTCAACAGTTACAAAACGTCATTCCAACCCCTATTACAACGTTAGCATCACAACAGAAGTTACAACGGGCGGATCGGCTTGAGGTATAGAAATGTGGAAATCGTAATAATTAATGTATCTGTAGTTTTATGTATGCATAGTAAACCATATGTAGGCAAGAAATATTGCATGGTTTTTATAAACAATGTACTTTCTATCTTATGAAAAGTTAAAGAAAAATTCCCAACATAAACGAACCAAATAAAATTAACAACAAAAACTGCTTGATTTTTAATTACACAAAAGCTGATAGCTGTATGACAGGAAAGGATGTTGTCTTTGCAATGGTGTGGTTTGTTGTAAGGCCTTGTACACAGAAGCTTATATTATTCAGAAGACATCAACACCTATGCACATAATGCTTTCTTTGGACATAGTCTGACATGATTATTCCTAAATCACAGTTTTGAATTTCCTTACACACAATTCACACTTATAGAAAAATATTTAAGCCTGTTTTGGGGCAAATTGATTGATAAAAAAGTTGATTTTTTATCTACAAAATATATTGAAAAAATTAAATATTACAAACACTGCCTTGTTTACTTATAAATAGAAAAGCTAGCCCTAAATGGTTAAGGATATAGTTAAATGAGGCTATATTATGAGGTTATTTTATGAAATTTTGTCGTTTTGTAAATTTTCGTGTTCTTAATTAAAAAAAAAAAAAAAAAATTGTTTTTGTACTTTGAAACTTAAATTCCTGTATGATTTTGTAAACTTTAACATTCATGAAATATCCTTTTTTTAACCTCATAGATGCTTATGAGAAAGATGTAGGGCCTGTTTGATTTGGTTGCTAAACTATAACATTTAATTAGCTTGTTCTTGTAAAGTATACAGTGGTCTATTGCATCATTTTGTTTTGAATATTTTATTTGCACTCAACCAGTTTTGACTCAACTCCTTGTCTAATATTGGACTGAATTTTCTCCTTGAAATCAAAAGTCTTTAGATGTATTTATTTCTATCTAAATAATTAATTAATATGTAAATGTATACATATGTTTATATTCTTGCAGGATTGTGTAAATCTGTAAAGAACAGCTAACAGCAAATTTACCTTATTTCTATTTTTAATTTGTAATCTTTACTTTTTATTCAAACAAAAGGAAAATGTCAGCATTTTGAAGCACTATTTTCCATCACAAATTATCAGAATATAAATTCTTTCCATTTTGAAAAGAAACGATCATTCATGAATATAAAAATGCTGTACTTGTAAGTGCTTCAAAATGGTACTTTTCCAATCTCAAATTTTGTCCAAGTTCTTAAATATTTTTAAGATCAGATTATTCTATGTTTTAATCACATGACATAGCAAAATGTACAGGAATGCCAGTTGTTTGTCAAATTGAAAAAAAAGCATGCAGGTTTAATGAGTAATATAATATTTTTGAAATGAAAAAAATAAACTGTATAAAGCTAGTATATAGAACCTGCATCAGTATGTACATTTTGTTCTAAAGATATCTCTCCAAATATTATATAGCCTGGTCTTATTCTTCTGCCTCCATGGTATATAGTTAGTGAAAATCAAGCATCATTTTACATTTAGTATTATATTTAAATTTCTTAGTTTTGTCTGACTCGCTCAGGACAAAATATTAAAAATTAATATATTTGGTACTCACTTTATAATCAATCATCAAAATTTGATATCTTCTGAATACAGTTGATCCAAAATGATCAACTGATTTAACAATAATAATGCTTTCCTCCAAATTGAAAAAAAAAAACCACAGCCCTTTTGTAAGCTGATGTTTGATTGAAAGCTTTGTAAATAGTGAAATAGGAGATACTTGCATTTCAAATTTACTTTTGTCAATATTATATATATATATATCATTAATATAGAACTACTTATTGAACTTACAAAATATATCACTATGAAAGACCAATAGCTAAAATATTATTATCTTTTCAATTTTGCTCATGTATTTTGAATTATTTTGAAAGCTAATTTCCTATTTCAGTTTTATTTGCTTAGATATTTTAATATGTAATATTTATGCTTCATTTCAGAGTGTTAATTTAAAAGTGAAATGTTGATTCTTCGAAAATTAAAAAAAAAATGATTTAAAATGAACCGTTTTTGTTTTCCTGATATTTTACAGGTATGTCGAGAATTTCAAAGAGGAACATGCACGCGACAACCAAACGAGTGTCGCTATGCACATCCTCCGGAAAATGTAACAGTAGACACCACTGACAACTTGGTTACAGTGTGTATGGATCACGTTAAGGGAAAGTGTACACGGGAATCGTGTAAATATTTCCATCCTCCTTCGCACCTGCAGGCTCAGATAAAAGCTGCTCAGCAACGAGCTAACACAGCTGCTGTGCAAACTCAAGCTCTGGTAGGGTTTCCTTCTATGGCATCATTTTAGGCAGTGAATTATTCAAAAGAAAGAAAGATAATAAGTTTCATTAATTTTCAATTTAATTATGTTAGAAAATTAGAAAGATTTGGAGGAAAAATACGATAATGTGATAATACTTTTTTCATACAAATAAAAGCACTTCACATAATGTAACATTTTGGTAAAAAATGAAACTGACAAAACAATTCAATTTGAAGAAATTATTATATTAACCACATAAGAACAAGAATTTTTTGTTTTTGAGCGAGAAAAGAAATCACTGCCTGATGATGTCTATGCTATTCTTGTTCTTAACAGTTATCTTTCTAATCACTCTGTTTCCATGGTTTCTGTAACCATGCTAGCATTTGATTTTTGCTTTATTATGATACGTAGCACTTTAGCTTTTTATTATTACTACAATGCTCATGCCAGATTGACCCAAACTAAATTGTTAGTATTTTTTCATGTTTCATATTCTACTTCTTAGAGTAATTTCCCTAGATATAAACATTTTGCACCAAAAAAAATCAATGAAAGTTGGATTTAAATTTGATACTATGCATTTCTTTTGTGATCCATTTTTATTCCTTTGTATTGATTCACTTTAAGGGGAAATCACTCTATAAGAAGGGTTTAATCTTTGTAATATGAAAAAGTGGTAATTCATCTTGATATATGAAAAGTTTTGTACTCTCCAAAATTTATTTAAAAAATATAATTTTAGCCATTATGTACAAAAATGTAAAAAGCAATGACAATTAGTCGTACAACTGTTTCTTATTTTGTTCTTAATATGACAGACTGGCATGAACAATAAACTCTTAGCAAGCCTTTATACAGAAATTCCTTGGGTTCACTTGACCTTTGACCTATTGCTATAGAGCACTTGTGGCTACTTTCCAGATCTCCATCTACTTTACTAAGGTATTCTTCTATCCAAATATACTTATCCTTCACAATGGATAAAGCTGTTCTTATTGATCAACCCATTTGATTGGTTTATTTTAATATTACAGGTTTTACTTTTAATGTGATACGGTTCTTTTGATTGGTCTAATAAAGTGGACTAATCAAAAGATCATGTGTCTAAATTCAAAAAATAAATGACAACCAATCAGATGCTTTTGAAATGAATTTACAGCCTTATGATATTGACATCAGTAGCACCTAAGCTTTTGCCAAGCCTAAAAAATGCCAGCATTCTTAGTAGAACAATATTCTCAGTAAGGTGCCACAAGTAGAAATCATTATATCATTTATCATTTGAAGGATTATTTCAACTTTGAACTTGGAACTGTTGTCAATGGAAGTTATATAGGACGTTAAAGAATGAACCTTTAATTATAAATTTTTTAAACTGTCTTTGTGAATTGGTTAGAGATCACTGTTTTGAATTACAAAAAAAACTTCTCTTTTTTTCAAAAATACAAATTAGGTTTTACAAAGCAATGTTGTGTAATAAGAATATTTTTACGGAAGAGACAGTTCAAAGGTCACAGTTAAAAAAGTCCTTCATATTATCATATAGAACTCAGCAGCATTTTCTATTTTAATTGGGGAAACACAAGGCTAAATTGATAAAGAGTTGTATTGATGTTGAAAAAGAACTTCAGTCTTTAGATAGTGACTTTGATAGCATAATAGCGGTAACAATCATATTAATAAGTATATTGTAGTATTTATTATTGATAACGAAGATTTTCTTACTCACAAACTTTGTTGTATATTTTTGAAATGCATTTGGCATGATTTAAATTTTGGACGATTTTTTATTGTAAATTTTAAATAGCTTATTGTTGCATGTACAGAAACTTCTGAATAGTAATTGTAAAGCTTTGGAATGAATAGTAATTTCAATTTTTCGTGAGTTCGTTGCTTGGACTGAACATTTGTGGAATTATTGCTTAAAGATTGCTTCAGTTTTGTGAATAGGAAACCTTGGAATTTGCTGTTGTAACTATATTGTATTGAGATTTTTATGGGTATAACTGTTCGATGAAAGTCTCCCATGTAGTTTTGGCTTCTAATTTTTCTTAAATATAGAATATAAAATGTGCAACAAAGTTTTGTATTTAAAAACTGCTGAAATGGAACATAAATTAATAGATTTGTCATAGGCAAAACTTCTTCAGATACCTCAGAAATGAAAATTTAGAAACAAAAACAATGAATAAATAATTTCATTGAAATTTATGCTTTGATCTGAACTGAAAAAAATGCTTTTTTTCTTAATATTTTAACTGAGCATTGCTATCTAGACAATAAAACATAAGAATATAAATGGCTATTGTCTCTTTTTCTCTAAAACTATAAAATATGACATTATGGATGTTTTATCCCGAATTATCATATTATCATACTGCTATTTATGGTACCTTACTGACGATTTTATCTTCTATCCTAGAACCAGTAGAAATGCCTATAGAGAAAGCTTATATTGCTTAGTAAAACACTACTATCTTTGTTTTATCCTATAAGAATGGAGAGGTTTATAGTTATTTCAGAAAGAGAATAAATAACACTATCAGTTACTGCTGCACCTTCTGTTTTGAAATAGAAAAATTCTACATTCATAGTCTTGTTGCACAGAATTCAAAATATTTTGTTTTCAAATCTTTGAACACATCTAAATTTAAAAATTCTTTACTTATTTGTGTAATTGATTTTAGCTGTAAAAACTATCTTATCTTTACTTAAGCAAAAAACAATCTACTCAGCAAGCAAAATCTTTTTGTGAAGAATTTTTAAATTTGAATTCTTTCTCCTCGCAACAATTTTCTTTAAAAATAATTTGAATTTTGAAAAAAGCTGTCCATGGTAAAACAAATATAGTAAGTTTACAGGCATTGCAGTCTTATATTCCTGCTTCGGCTGGCAAAAGTAGAGTCAGTGTAGTCATATGTGTGACAAAAACACCTAAAGTAGCTCAAGTAACATCACATTTTTAGTATTGGTAAATATTATTGGGTTAAAATGTCCGCACATTATTCTGATCATGTTCAAAAATGTTTTTGAATTTGCAAAGTTTTTGGTGGATGGTATTCCGGGGCTTTTTGGTATATGATACTCTTAGCATTAGTCATAGTGCAAAGTCTGTTCAATGGCTGAAACCAGAACAGATACACACGTCATTTTATATTGGGGTTAGGGACTAAAACAAAACAGAAATCTTTCTTTGACTCTTAAGTTTACTTAAAGTTCTATATTGACAAGTTTTTGTTTTTATTCAAATCATATCGGATTTTTTTTACAATTTTTGTAATTCTATATATTTAAATTATTGAGGTTACTTGATCTACAAAACTTTGCTTGAATCACTTCCTGTTGCTGTTTACCTCTTCCTTCACACGAAAGGCCGTGTACATTTAAAAAGAAAAAACGGATTTATTTAAATTGTTCATTTGAATATTGCAGATCGACTTAGTTTTCTATGAAACCTTTTGATATTCATCAGGGGGTACCTGTAAAAAGTGAGCATCAAGGCCAAGTCAGTGACCCAGATATAGCATGTCACACACGATTGGTTATATACCTGGAAAGTCAATATTGATACTTCTGAATGGCTGGTTAACCATCAGCCTTGTAGTAGTATCACAGTGGTATGCTTTAAATGTCTTGTCATTGGTGATTTCAGTCACATGATGAATATTTTAACCTCTGAACTATTGTATGAATTTTATTTTATAAGTTGCTTTGTAGCTTATGGTAGTGTGAAGTTTTAACATATTACTATAGCTGGAGATATTTTTGTTTCACACCTTACAATGATAATTTTTTTGTTGTGTTTTGTTGCAAAACCAAAACATACTAAATCATGTTTGATAAGAACAATTTATAGTAATTGAAAAATTAAATATAATGGAAGTCTGAAAAGATTGCTCATCTACATTTGATTCCAGAGATTTTTATCAGAATAAATTTAAGTTTCATTGTTTTATGTGTGAAACAAAAACCTTGTTAGTGAAAAGTTTGCTTGTGATGAATGCAAGAAATTGTATAGTGGTATTACTATGGTGATAAATAAATTATTATTTTTCTGCTGGTATATGAATGTAATAAATAGTTTGTTCTTTTTATGTTGTGGTCCATTTATTTATCTACATGACAACCAAATCTTTGCAACACTCTGATAACTTTAGGGTGAATTGATATCATCTATAAGACTGTTTAAATATCAAGATAAACACAGAAAATGTTAGATTTCATACTTTGGATAAAATAAATAATAAAAAGATTACATTGAGTTGTTTGGTTTTAAAAATGCAGTGGTAAGGTGAGGTTAAAGGTCAAGATTGGTTTTAATTGACAGAAAGGTCATTTATTTTACAATAGTATAAAGGCATTTTTGCTAAGATATAGATGTTGTCCTGTTCCAACTTTATTTTATGAATTAATTGGGGATTTGATGACTGATTACCTATATTTAATCAAAGATTTTTCAGTCATAGAACAAGTCTCCTCTAGAACACATGGCCTGATCTAAAAACCTTAACCATTTGACTTGTTTATACCATTGCACAACCTTCAGCTTACTTGAGTAATGTTTTTCTTATTTTGAAGTTCATCATATTTTTGTATCAAAAAATTTGTTTGATGGATCTGACAAAAACTAATATCAGAACTCATGAAAAATTATGCCTTCAACCAAATGTTATTTCATGCCCTGCATATGTTAATGTAATAGAAAATGTATATCTATCCACATGTTACATAAGTATCAAAAAAGATCCATTTATGTGAATTTACTGACATACATATAAAGAACAGAAGTATTTTGAAACATTCTATATGTATGTTGCGTATCATGAAAAAATCAGGTACACATGTATATCTATTACAATGTAAGGTACTGTACTTCCTTTATATCGTGTAGTTAATTTCAGGATTTGTATCATAAAAAATGAGATTCAATGTACTTATTGAACATTTACCTTACGGTACTTTCAAATATTTTGGTCTGAAGGAGCAATCATTTTCAGGAAAATTAATGAAAATAAATACACTTCCAAATACAATTTAAACTACAGTACTTATTATTGAGTCAGAAAATGAGAAATATATCAGTTGGATTATATCCTAATTCAGATTAATTTCTTTTGGGAGAGGCCAAAAAACTTAGTTTTAGATTCTAGCTTATTGCATACTTTAAGGATAAAATGAAGATTTGAATTTACACCTTTTTTTATACAGTATGCTAGTTACTTTAGGGAAATACAGAGACAAAAGTAAACTTATTGGCTGATATATTCTTTGTTGTTAAATACCTGATTTTTTTATCATGTTGATAAACATGTATTTACGACCAGTTGCTATACATACTGCACATGGTGTATTTGAATGATCTAGCTATTTATAATTTGCAAGGTATCACATAAGTGTTTTGCTGCCTAGAGTTTATCACTGTCATCAATTACCAGGTTTTCATGATGATTTGAAAAGAAAAATTGACCACTCCTTAAATGACCAAATGTTAAAAACAGTGGAAAAAATGACAAAACTATTTGCTAATTATTTGATATAAAAAAAAAATATCAGATTACAATTGTCATTAAATGTCCAGTCCTGTAAGTAGGTGCCAATCCTCATTGATATGTATCCCCAAAGTAACAAGTAAGCTGAATGGGTTATATGTTTGGAACTATATGCATGCCTTGGAGAAGACAAAGGAAGATTCAACCTGAAAGGTAGTATGTGTGTTGTGATTGTTTGTGTTTTCTCTTTATACTATACCATAACTAAGTTTAAAAACAGCATATATCAAAAAAAGAAATGAATTTAATCTAAGAATGATACTTTTTGTCAAATGTTTTTCTGTAGTATTACTGATGGGAAATGTGTTTTGCAGAAATACTATTGTATGGAACCACTGCCCCTTATTACTACTAATGTATATGATTCCAGAAAGACCTGAATTATTGTTTAGGGTGTAACTATTGCATCAAATGGTTGTTTCTATTTTGTTTCCTTGTCCTTCATGTTGAGGTTTAGGTGTTGTAGCAATTAAAGGAGGTACCACCAAGACAGCTGTGAGTTATCATTGATTGTGATAGTTATACCATTGGAGCCTGGAGATGATTTATCTAGATGTTACTCAGGTTTTTTTTCTGTCTGATATCTTCTCTTCCACAACAAATATTTAGTTTTCTAAGGAGGTTGATGCCAGTATTTAAATTTGATATTCAGTTTCATTAACATCTATGTATCTCAATTGCATGAAGAAAATAAAGCTCCTTAGTCATGCTTCATTTACTTAAAACAGGGCAAAAGTGTCTATGGACTTGTTACATGCTGTAAATGTTTTCAGATTATGTGTACTTGTTGTTGCTCTTCATATTGATACCCCTCCAATAAACAATAATTAACTAGCTGTAACACTTCTTAGTATTGAGCCCTCCCATATACAACTATTAAGTGAAACCCAATCCCATAAACAACTGTTGACTAGCTGTAGCATTATTAAGTGATACCCAATCCCATAAACAACTGTTGACTAGCTGTAGCACTATTAAGTGATACCCAATCCCATAAACAGCTGTTGACTAGCTGTAGCACTATTAAGTGAAACCCAATCCCATAAACAGCTGTTGACTAGCTGTAGCACTATTAAGTTATACCTAATCCCACAAACAGCTGTTGACTAGCTGTAGCACTATTAAGTGATACCCAATCCCATAAACAACTGTTGACTAGCTGTAGCACTATAAAGTGATACCCAATCCCAAAAACAACTGTTGACTAGCTGTAGCACTATTAAGTGATACCGAATCCCATAAACAACTGTTGACTAGCTGTAGCACTATAAAGTGATACCCAATCCCAAAAACAACTGTTGACTAGCTGTAGCACTATAAAGTGATACCCAATCCCATAAACAACTGTTGACTAGCTGTAGCACTATTAAGTGATACCCAATCCCATAAACAGCTGTTGACTAGCTGTAGCACTATTAAGTGATACCCATAAACAACAATTGACTAGTTTATAACTTTATAATTTCCCTCACAATAAACAATTATTGATGATGTAGCATTTCTGAGTGATGGCTCCTCCCACAAATTACAATTTATGTAGCACTAGTTATATGTTCTCTCCTATAAACAACAATTGACGGGTTGTAGCATTATTTAGTGAAACCTAATTCCATAACATACATTTCCATTTTGTAGCTTACTATACAGTATGGGTTTTGCTCATTGCTGAAGACCGTATAGTGACCTTTAGTTTTTTACATACTCATTCTTTGGACTCTGGTGGATAGTTGTCTCATAGGCAATCATACCACACCTTCTATTTTTTATAGCTGTAGCACAACTTAGTAATAACCAAGCCCATAGCATGCATTTTATAGCTTACTATACAGTATGGGTGTTGCTGATTGTTAAAGGCTGACGGTGACCTTAAGTTATTTACATCCTCGTCCTTTTGTCTCTTGTGGATACGTGTCTCAATTGCAATCATGCCACATCTTATTTTTATATGTAATAAAGTGCTGTTTTTGCTTTTTGAAAAAAATAAGGATATTTAACAATTTCTAACAGTATAATGCAAAAGCTAGATATTTTAAAAATCAATTAACCGTTTCTCTGATGATCATAAAGAATTTTAAGGAACAGATAAATTCAGTCCACTAATATACAGTCCCAATGGTAATAATTGGTCAACTAAAACATTGAAATAAAAATGGCAGCAGACATAAACTCCAAGCAGCAAGACAAATGTGTGATAGGAACTAAATGCACTTGGTTTGATTTTCAGCAATTTGAAATCCTGCCGTTTAGCCTTTTGAACTTTTTAGTTGCAGACATGATTCATGTGACATGTAGCAGCAGTATAATACTTCTGGCTTCAAATGTCACCAAAGAATGACTACCAAAATATGAAGAAATTTTGTTTTATCTTTCTTTTCTTTATGCATGATAGTTTTATTCTTTTTTAAAGCACAAGTATATATTAATCTTGTACTACTTGGCAGAGGTTGTAAATGATCTGTAATTAACACAGCTATTTATTATATGTTAATACTCCTACAAGATGTAATTATTTTTATTCCTAACAAAAATTCAAAGCAAGGAAATAAAAAAAATAATTACATCTTATTTGTAATCTATTCTTTAAATCGACCAGGCATGATTTTCTAAACATTTTTTCTGCTTTATTTGTTAGCAGGGAGAATTTGACCACACTAAGACAACATACAAAAGTGCATGACTGATTGACAAATTTACTGATGGTGCTGTTTTTCTTTTTTATTTTCATCTTCCCATCATGCCTTGTGCTGCTTGCTGTTGTCATGTGCTGCCAACCCTGCCATGCCGCCATTTCATTGGCCGATCGCCATGTACTGTGCTCTGCATACTAATTAGCCGCAAGTTGTAGAGGTCATTCAAGGGAAGAAGCGACCTCGAGACCCAACTGATGATCTTGTTCTGGTACTATATCCCAACAAGCTTTTGCATGTAGCTGTAGTATGCTTGAGGAAAACTTTTGCACTGTCACATGACCATCACCTGACCTGGCCTCTATAAATAATAGCTTTTATATTTAGACATTGTTCAATGTAGCCTCATCTAAATTTTAGATGAAACTGCATTGTTGATTTTAGCCATTTATTGTTTCACAAGCATTTAAACAATATCACGCAGTGCATGACTGCTATTTTATATTTTCTTTGTGGCTTTTTAATTTCTTTTTTTTTATGCAGAATTTTGGATTTGGAGATTGCCCCCAAAGATTCCTCAAAATTCAGTTTTGAAGATGTCATGTGATTTTGCAAAATCAAAATTCGATTGTTAATTTTTCAAATTGAAAGAATGAAAAAATGATAAAAAAACATTGAATAACATTTTCAAAATAAAACGTACCGTGTTAGACATAAACATAAATATGTCAATATTATTGCAGTGTATATTTATTTATATATATTAATGTAGAATTTCTAAAACTGCTTGGATTGTACATATAAAATATACTAGAGACTGAAACTTGAGTTTTGCTTGAGAATTATGTAGACTATTAGTTACTTTGTTTCTGCGGTGATTGTTTTCTTTTACGTGCATTTTGGGTTTGGGCATTTACACAGAAAAGTATTGACATTGCATACAACACAATAACACTAGGTTTTGGCCAGAGGGCTACAGGCTAGATTAAAATTAACTCATTTATTTCTTTTTTTAAGTTTAGTAATGCTTTTTAGCTTACGTTTGTATTTTATTAGTTTTTCATTTTATTTTCCATAATGATGCATGGTACGTTGTTTTTTTGTAGCAAAACTCAATGCCAACCATGATTCCATACAAGAGAGTAGCAATTGCTGATGGAAAGAGCCCAGTACCTGCCATGTATCAACAACCTGTGAATTTTGCAGCGTACCAGCAGGCTATAGCAGCCATGCAGGGACAGCAGTACTTTCCTATGGCTTGTAAGTTTGGATGGATAGATTCCGTTCTTAAGATAACCTGTTTCTCAGTTTGTAAATCATTCACCTGTCAGACAGTAATATCATATTCCATTGAATCCCACTAATTTGTGTCACTTATTTTCCTCATTCCTATCTTTTGAGATCTAGCCTTAAAAATGTATACACTGTTCAGTATCAGAAACTTAAAAGTTTATGATTATTGATTTCTAGGGGTTTGATTTGTATATGAGTTGATTGCAAAAGAACCAAGACAAGCTTCTTAACACTGACATACTGGTACTCTTAAAATCCCATATCAAGATGATAAAGTAGACTGCATTATCATTTATGTTTATCATGGCTGAGCTGTTGCTTGGCAGATACAGCTTTCTTAACAAACAGGCTTCTTTTTTTTGTAAATTTTAACTAATAATTTATCAAAAAAAGTTTTATTTTATTTTGAAGAATATATTTAATTCATATTAATGTTCTATTAGTAAATGTAAATAAATCTGCCCATCTCTATTTAAATTTTATGTAAGAAAGCTGTATCTGCTTAATTTCTTTTGTTGCAGAAAGCTTCAGTTTATAAGCATTGTCATACTAAACTGAGCACTATAAAGCTAGCAGTCCCACTAACAGCAATTTTATTTACTGCTGTGATTGTCCACATTTTGCTATAAAGGCCGGGTTATGTGCAGGACTAAACAATAAGACATAAGGACCTTGGTTTAGCTCTTGTTTTATTTTGCTGACTTACTCTGATAAATTTATTTAATCTCAAGATTGTTATCAAAGAAATTTTTGTAGAGCAAGAGATTGCTTGTTTGCAAATATCTTCCAAAATAATAAAAAATTTGTTTGTTTTTGTCGAGACTTCGACTTTAGTCGAAAAAGCGAGACATAGCGATCCTACATTCCGTCGTCGGCGGCGGCGTCCACAAATATTCACTCTGTGGCTAAAGTTTTTAAAATTTTAATAACTTTCTTAAACTATCCTGGGTTTGTACCAAACTTGGACAGAAGCTTGTTTATGATCATAAGATAGTATCTAGAAGTAAATTTTGTAAAAAAATAAATCCATTTTTTCCTTATTTTACTTTTAAATGGACTTAGATTTTCTGCCAGGAAACAACACATTCACTCTGTGGTTAAAGTTTCTAAAATTTTAATAACTTTCCTATACTATTTTGGATTTGTACCAAACTTGGACAGAAGCTTGTTTATGATCAAAAGCTAGTATCTAGAAGGAAATTTTGTAAAAAAATAAATCCATTTTTACCATATTTTACTTTTAAATGGACTTAGATTTTCTGCCAGGAAACAACATATTCACTCTGTGGTTAAAGTTTTTAAAATTTTAATAAATTTCTTATACTATTTTGGATTTGTACCAAACTTGGACAGAAGCTTGTTTATGATCAAATGCTAGTATCTAGAAGGAAATTTTGTTTTCTTCCAGTTAACATTACATTCAGTCTGCAGTTAAAGTTTTTAAACATTTATTAGATTCATAAACTATCCTGGATTTTTACCAAACTTGGACAGAACCTTCTTTCAATCAAAAGATAGTATCAAGAGGAATATTTTTATTGATTAACTTCCTCATTTTTGTTGAGCCTGCGATTAACAGAAAAAGTAGGCGAGACACTGGGTTCCGCGGAACCCTTACGAATTTTTTATTGTATTAATCCACTTAAATATATGCTGTTTGTTGTGGTAAAATGCAGTTTGCATGTGTGTAGGATTTTCCCCCTAAAGCTACACTGTATAAGAATAATTCCCTGACACTTCAAGAAGTGGTAAATTTTGCTTTTTGCTTTTTTGAGTTCTAAACTTCTTTAGATCTTACCTTGTACCTAAATGTGCCTTATTCTACAGAAACATATGAGTAGAATATGAGCTACATGTACAGGGCTGCCAAGTCTCACGCATTTAGCGTGAGACTCACACATTTTCATGCTTATTTGGCGGCATTTTCCTTTGATCTATTGTTTTTTCTCTTTGATCTTTACGATTTTGGCCAAATCTCACGCATTTGCGTTATTAAAAGTTGGCAGAACTGCATGTATTGGGTTATAAATTTCACTGGGAGGTAATAACTGAAATGAAATTGTTTTATAGACAGTAAAGCTAGTCCAATGAATGGAGCACAGATTTACCAGCCTACTTTCTCCACTATGCAGATGCAACAGGCTCCAGTAACAAGTGAGTTATTTCCCTTGAATGAACTCTTCTAATGTATCTCACATATTTTATTTCTGAATACTAGGGATAGATGATATAATTAATCTGAGTGATGCATCAAAAGGGGAAAGGGCTGGTTTGTCTGATTCTGATTAGTTTATTCACTGATCAAAGTGTATCAATACTCATTCTAACATAAAAAAATGATTTAAATGAATTTCAATTTGGTGATTTGCTGTTTATTAATATTGATCTGATTTCTTGTCATCACTGTAATCAAGTCTGCTGAGATATAGCTTTTTGTACTGATGTGGTGTAAAGCTAACACCAATCAACCTTTAATTCTAATGCAATTATCTTGTTTTGATGGGTTTGATTGAATAAAGACTAGCGTAAAATTCTCAATTTATTGGTTTGGAACTAAGAGAAGCTACCATTTTGAATTCTGGAATTGTTTGATATGTGCAAACTGAAAAGTTACAAAACATTAAAGTGCCTGGTGTTTACATATGACACTGCAAGCAAACCTATGAAATATAAACTGTTAAGTTGCCAAAAAAGACAAATTTTCTTTTTATGAATTTTTACACTGAAATAATGACTAAATAGAATGATAGTTTACTGTGCAATAATAAATAGATAACTGTATTGTTCTTAAGCTTGGCCTACAAAAATTTAGTTTTACTGTTGCAAATATCTGTTTAGCTACATGTAGATCCTTCCTGCATCTGAAAATCAGCTTGTGACAGTCAAACCGACATTTTACACAAACCAAGCTTAAAATCAATACAGTTATCTCCTAATTAGACACAGTTTCTTTTCAAAATTCTGAAAAGTGCGAGTTATGTCTAAGAAAGATTAGTTGAAGTAACTTTAACTACAGACTGAGAAAAGATAATTTTCTTGAATAAATAAATCAACAAACAAAACATCAGTTAGAAATCATGTGTTTATCTGAAGAGACCTGGTGATCCATATCTTATAGTCATTTTATGTCTACTATGATTGTTGTGTCTGTTTCTTAGTTGGTGTTATGTCCATTCACTCACAGGTGAAGTCATAAGCTTGTCTTTTTAAATTTTTAGCCTTGTTTATTCCAAAAATAAGAAAAAAATATACAAATTTGGTTAAATCTAAAGCATAGATAAATTGTTAGGAAAGATGAGTATTGATACACACATACACTTAGCACCCAAAATTAAGATCAACAGACAGCATATTTATGTGGATCGACCTCTAGAATGAGACAGCATATTTATGTGGATCTACCTCTAGAATGAACTCTGTGGAATGACATGATCACATTTATGTGGATCTACCTCTAGAATGAACTCTGTGGAATGACATGATCACATTTATGTTGATCTACCTCTAGAATGAACTCTGTAGAATGACATAATCACATCATACCTGTTATATCGAATGGACTCTGTCTTAAATTATAATCTACCCATTGAAGAATGATCTTAAATTTACATTTTCAATACTAATTTTTCACTTGTTTAGAATCACAAGCTGTTTTTCATATGTGACTATTGCTTGATTTACCTTTGAATGAGTCAATTTTAGTTGTCATGGAGACCTTAATGTTAAATTTCGAATAAAACTAGTTTACCAAATGTGACCTTCAGAAGAACTAGATACAATGTAGCTTAGCAGTTTCTTATTTTTTATAATTTTGAAATGATGTGTATCCAGATAACAATGGCTATTAAAATATCGTGCAGTAGTCACTGTGAGTCAACACATAACTAAAACATCATTGTATGTTGTAGCATATTTATGGTGATAGCACATTTTTAGTTGTAATAATTTATTAACATTGCTTTTCTAATTTTCATTTGCATTTTATGTTTTATTGTATATATTGTGTATTTATTTAACATTTTAATTTAACAAATTTTCACACTGTATACCCATATAAAAGGTTGTTTAAGTTTCTCATCTGAATTCAAACGTCTTCCAAAATGGATTATTTATGAATTTTAAATTTGTTATAATAGAACTCAGAGAGAAACTAGACAATATTTTATTATGGGCCTTAGCCAATGAAATTGTTTTATTTCATTCTTTTCATGCTCTTCCTCCTGTGTGCTTTATAATTTGCTTTGGTCACCTGCATGTGGTGCTCATTTGCTTCAACATCTGCACCAATTTAACTATCGCCATGACAACTACAGTGCCACTGGTAGTAAACCCTGCTGAAGCTGGCGCCGCCCTGGTGACAGCCCCTGCGACCTTGATACCTACTAACGCACAAAGCGTAAATTACTTTGACCAGAATGGACAGGTAGTGTTGTGTAATGTGATTCTGCTAGGGACAACCAAGTAAGGGGGGACAGTAAGGGAAATTTGTTAACTTGATCTTTCAAATATTGGTAAGCTTTAGATGTACAATCACAAATATAAAAAGTATTAATCACAAAATCAATGCACCACTAACCACTTACTAATTGTACTAATATTCAACACATAATACAGTAGAGTTATCCAAACCTTAGAATTTTCTTTCTTAGCTAGATAGTATTCATATTAAGAAAATTAATTTTAAAGATGATGATTTGCTTTCTAATACAAAAAAAAACAAAGTGCTAGATTAGCTAGAGTAAAATGTAACTATCCAAATAAAAAAGCTTCAATGCTGGCCAGATATTCTTGCCACTGAATAATATAAACAATGACATTTCCATTTCGCAGTAGACAAAGGCAAGATAACTTACTTACTATGCTTCAAGGGAATAAGCAGTAATACTGTTCTTTTACCTGACAAATCCTTCATTTAGAAATGAAGAGATTATTTTAGACAAATTCCTTAAAGTTCAAAGCCTGTAAATTGTTAATAGATAATGAACTGGAATTTTATAATATTTTATCCCTTTACATAATAAATAATAAATTTCTATATAATTTCAATTTCAAAAATCTATTAAATGAGATCTTTGAAAGCACTGTGACCAATTTCACTAAAAATCTTTTAGAGAAAAAATACTCTTTTAAGTCATGAACATTTCAGTACAACTTTCTATCAATTTTTTGTCAAAAGTTTTTTTTTGTGAAAAGAGCCCCTGATGTTACAAATGACAAACTTCCTAATCTTCTTGATGTATTGGTGTATGCAGGCTATTATGCATGTAAACATGTTTATTTTTGTTATTTTTATTATTATTTACATTGCTTTTTCTGATCTTTTCTTTATTATATTTGTTCAGTTTTTTAGTTAAATTTACCAAATATAGCAGTTGTTGATTATGTTGTGATTTTCTGTGTATTCACTCTTGCAACCTGAAAAATACAGATCTAAAAATATCATTACAGCAAAGACAATGAAACAAATCCCTGAAACATAAAAGTATTCAATGAATGATCATTATATTTACTGCTGAAACAACAGAATATTTGACAGTAAGAAAAGTCCTTTTTGGGCTCCGGTGGATAGTTGTCTCATTCTAGTTTGGTCTATGGATAGTAGTCTCAGTTTCTTTTGGTCTCATTTGGATTGTAGTCTCTGTCTTCTTTGGTCTATGGGGGATAGTTTTCTCAGTCTCCTTTGGTCTCTGGTGGATAGTAGTCTCAGGCTTCTCCAGATTTCTGTGGATAATTGTCTCAGTTACTTTTATCTGTGATGCATAGAAGTCTCAGTCTCCTTTGATCTCCAGTGGATAATAGTCTCAATCTCCTTTGATGTCCAGTGAATTGATGTCTCAGTCTACTATTGTCTCTGAGGAATAGTAGTCTCAGTCTTTGGTGGATAGATGTCTCAGTTATTTTGGTCTCTGATGGAAAGTAGTCTCAGACACCTTTGGTCTTAATTGGATAATAGTCTCTGTTTATGGTGGATAGGATAGAAGTCTTATTTTGGTCTTGGATGGAAAATAGTCGCAGTCTCCTTTGGTCTCCAGTGGATAGAAGTCTCAGTTATTTTGGTCTTGGATGGAAAGTAGTCTTAGGTTCTTTAATGGATAATAATCTCGCTCTCAGATGGATAGATGTTTCAGTTATTTTGGTCTCAGATGGATACTAGTCTCAGTCTTCTTTGGTCTCTGGTATATAATAGTCTCACTCTCCTTTGGTGTCCTATGGATTGTAGTCTCAGTCTCCTTTTGTCTCTGATGGATAGAAGTCTAAGTCTCCGGTGGATAGAAGTCTCGGTTATTTTGGTCTCTGATGGAAAGAAGTCTCAGACACCTTTGGTCTCGAGTGGATAATAGTCTATGTCTACGGTGGATAGAAGTCTTATTTTGGTGTTGGATGGAAAGTAGTCTCAGTCTCCTTTGGTTTCAAGTGGATTATAGTCTCAGTCTACAGTAGATAGAAGTCTCAGTTATTTTATCAGTCTCCTTTAGTCTTGGGTGGATAGTAGTCACAATCTCCATTGGTCTCCAGTGGATAGTTATAACAGACTCCTTTGGCTTCAGTTGGACAGTTTTGGTCTCCTGTGGATAGGAGTCTCAGTCAACGTTGGTCTTAGATGGATAGTTGTATCAGTCTCCTTTGGTCTCTGGTAGATATTTTTCTCAGTCTTTGTTGGTTTATTGTTGTTAGTTGTCTCAATTTTATTTGGTATCCAGTGAATTGTTGTCTCTGATCCTTTAGTTTTCAGTGGAATGTAATCTCAGTCTCCTTTGATCCCGATAGATAGTAGACCATCCTTTTAGTCTTGGATGGACATTTGTTTCAGTCTATTTTGGTCTCCAGTGGATAGTAAAATCAGTCTCCTTTGGTTTATATTGGATAGTAGTATTGTCTCTTGTGGTCTCCAGTTGATAGTTGTCTCACTGGGTCTTCTTTGGTTGCTGTTGGATAGTTGTGTCATTGGCAATCTCTTTTAGATAGCTGTCTCGTGTGCAATCTCTTTTGGTCTCTGTTGGATAGTTGTCTCATTGGCAATTTCATTTGATCTGTTGAATAGTTGTCTCATTGGCGATCATACCACATCTCCTTATTTTTATATCAAGTCATTCAGAGGTATTTCAAACTTTTCACGATCCACAGATTACATGTCTATCCTTTGCTTAAACATTGCAAAAACTTTCTTAAAAATATCTTAGTACCAGTGACCATTTTCAGTTGTTGAGCTTTTTTACCATGCAAAAAAAAGTAGTTTGCATGAAAAAATGTTATCACAACAAAGAAAATTTTTTGATTCAGTAAATTGTAATGATTAATGCTATCAGGTTCAAATTAGGATAATAGCCTGCAAAAACATTATGTATACACGTATGAAGAATATTAATTTAGGACCAGGAAATTTTAAACACATAAGGATAACATTTCTGTCAAAAAGCAATAAATTGCTAGTTTCCACAGAATTTTAATTGATGAAACCTATCAACTTTCAAGTTTATTTGATATCCTTAAATGTTTTTTTCAATTTTTTGTCCTTAATCCTTGACAAGAAATATTAATAAGTGCTTCTTCATTTTCTGTTGAAGACAATTTTTATACATTATTACACATTTTAAACATTTTTGCATCCTAGGAAATCCTGATCCAAAGTTAATTGATTTGTATCTAAAGGTGATACATAATTATATTTCCAATAGAATTTTTGTTTGAGTTAATATTATCTTCTTTATTAATTTTTTATGAATACTAGAAAGATATTTTCTGGTGTATGACCTCAGATTTATTTCTGAGGATCTCTGACATATTAGGCTTTATTCTCATGCATTAGAATAACAGATGTATGTTTTATACCACAAGTTAAATCCAGTAACATAGCATTTATCATTAATCCAAGTCTAATTTTGAGTCCTTCACCATTTTAATGATTATCAAAAGCTTGTTCCTAGATGTTTAGTATTTTCTTACCAGGATTTTATTTACTTTCCTGAATCATAACATAGTTGTTAATTTTTTATCTGTGAGAGTATTTTTTACTTTTCCCTTATTATCTTTATCTGTTCAGATATTGCCAACAGGAGACATAGCTAATTGCTGCTACTCTCCTGAGATATAACTAATGGCCGCTTTAACCTCAACAGTTATTCCGGGAGACATAACTAATAGCTGCTTTACCCTCTAATCCAGTTCATTATCTGCTAACTAATTTTAAACAAGACAATTAATGCTAGACTATTTTAATAATTTGATTTGATATATATAAATTACAGGCTATTAAATGTATAAATTGTTTATTTTGCTGTTACAGTTACTGGACAGCCTCCCAGCATGCCGAGATTTTAGGTTAGGCCAATGTAATAGGCCAACATGCAAGTATGTGCATGTACTTGAAGGTGAGTTCTATGACTTTTTTAGGCCATTAAAATTAATTTATGTTTAACATCCTCATAGGTTTTGTGAAATATTTTGAAATATTTCTTAAGTTATGATTTTCAAATGCTATGTAAGAAAAACAGACCAAAGGAATCAGAATTGCTAGTTAAGGAAATATTTTCCATATTATTTTGTCTAAACTTTTGTTCAAAAAAAAAGTAGACAAATTTAAAGAAGTCATCCGCATATTATATTTTTTCTCCTTTTATTTAATTCTCTCATAGATTTCACAAAAGTCTGATGCTGTTAAATATAGACTATTTGAGGTGGTTTTATTTTCTTGTCTGTGACAAATGTCACAGAATGCAAGACATTAGGATGCTAATCCTGTGAAAACATTTTGTGTTAAGATGTACATTTCAGAACGTAGAATACCTGGATACCTCAATTCTTGTATACAGATACCTTAATCATTACTGAATGATACTATATCAACAAATGCTCGTAGTTAATAAAAGCAAATTCAAAAAGACTCTCTTTCATGGTTCAGAAGCTGCTTAAAAAAACTAAAAAAGAATTGCATGATTCTTTTGGAAGTTATTATGAATGTAATAAGACAACTGAGCTTGATACATGTATATAGAATTTATAGAGTTATTGTAAGGAAAAAATGTCCATCAGAAAGGGTTCACCTGACCTCGACCACATTCATGGATCAGTGATCAACATTAAATTTGAGCTGTCAAGTCTATTTTCCAGACACATGTACTTTAACCAAAAGGTCAACTATGTTTGGTGAATGGATTGATTTCGAAGTATACATGTCTCTCTGGCAGGGTTCATCTGACCTTTACCCTATCATCATGGTTCTTTGGTCAACATTTAGTTTTGTTGATAAGGTCGGCTTTTTAAATACTAAAAGCGAATGGTCAACTATATTTGGTGTATGGAATGATTTTAAGGTGAACATGTCAGTCTTGCAGGATTCATCTGACCTCAACATCATTTTCATGGATCATTTATAATGTTAAGTTTATGTGATACCTACAGTAAAACCTTTATCTAAAAGACTTTCAACTGAATCGTGATCAGTTAGGCAGGTGAGGCATTTTTGTCCTTTCTTAAAATATTGCAACGATAAATGCACACAATTTCTGAATTAATAGTAGTAACAAGTTACATTTCTAATCATAATAATATTGTTTTGTGTTAAAGTAAAAAAAAATTATTGCCTCTAAAATAAATTGTACTTTGTTTTACAGAATATGTTGAAGTTGTGGATGGAAAAGTTACAGTCTGTCGTGACTCTGTCAGAGGAAAATGCACACGTCCCATGTGCAAATATTATCATATTCCTGTAGAACTTCCACCTGCAAAATGACAGTGAAAGTTTCTTCCAAACATCCAAGTGATGTCAAACCTGTCTTTATTTTGTTTTAATTGACTATATGATTCCTGCCATTGGATAAAGAGTTGAATTGACTTGTTATACATTTTAACACAAGTGGCCATTTCATTAGAAAGGTGCTATTTAGATAATTCTTTATTGTTTGTCTCCGGTGACACACAAGTTAATGGTTGCCATATTATTTTCAGACACGTTCAACTACTTTACCAATGCTGAATTAAAATAATTTTCCCATGATGTATGGAAATAGTAATTCTATTAACATATTTGTTCAACTGTGCCATGTTTAGTTCTCCACACACATACACAATTTTGCTCAAACCTTCTATACAGTTTGATAATGTGTTCAGTATGATCTATCGGCTTGCAAGCCTTTGCTAATTCATACTACGCAAGATTTTTTAACAAGTAAGGGTTAGTTACGCATCTATACACAATTGTTACATAGCAATGCAGGATAGTATAAATAGAGAAGTATTCATTCACCATTGATTGGCTATAACAAAATATGTTTAGTAGTTAATCATTTCAAGATTGGGTTTTTTGTGTTCTTTACACAGATTAAAGAATTGATAAAATCAATATACCCACATTGAAGATGTAATTATTCAATAATTAGTCTAAAACTCTAATAACCATATTCATAGCAAACCATGGTGAGTGACCTACTTTTTTTTTAAACTGATGTGCGATAGTGAGCTAATTTATCAAGGAAAGTCCAATGCTTCAACATATGTCTTCATCACAAACTGCTAGCAAAATTCTGCTATCAGCTTTGTGTTAGTATTTTTCTACTTTGTTAATGAGTTACTTTAGTTTGAATATTTTGACCTTCACATCTTTATTTTAGAACAGTTGGCTAGTCCTACATGGGCTAGTTCATTGTTTTAAGGTAAGGATTGGAGAATTGTTGTAAATTATATTTTTTGATGAAAATGGTGCAATCATAAAATGCACATTAAAATAAAGTCATTTAACATTACAAACCCTTAGAATATAACATTATTGACAGTTACATTGAGACTCCATTGAGTTTGATAGCTTGTAAGCAATCAAAGGACTGTGAAAGAGATATATTTGATCATACCTAATGTCCAGTTTGCCTACACGCTGATAATTTCTATAAAATTCCTTCCCATCTGTATGTAAAAAGAAAGTTAATATTTTGTTTTTGATATAGTGAATTGTTAGTTTTATTTTTGACACTGTAATGTTAAATGACTTTATTGTGTTATTATTTGATATGAACAAGTTTTGTTTGAACGTTTTAATAAAATGTGCCATATAATGAAATGTTTTTTTGGTCCTCGTGTGACTTACAACCTACAACCAATTTCAACCATTTTCTGACTTCTTTACAATATTTTTGTGTTTTGTGGTGGTAGTCTTGTACAATGTATAGTGCTAATTTCTAAAGGTGTAAATATATTCATTACAAGTTGTACAGCATATCTTGGTTTATTTTATACAGATACAAAAATTATTTCTAAACACAAGTCTTTTATAAGTAATTTATTAATACCTATTATGATGTTATTTACTACAAAGTGATTTTAATAAAAAAAATCTTCTATATTTTCTTAAGAATTCATACACAATTTAGGATTTTAAAGATTTGGATTACTTTTGTACTTCTTATTGTAAAAATATACTAGTTAAGAAGAAAAAAAACAACATTTTTTAATCTGTGCAAAAGATGCTTGAAAGCTTCTGTTTTATAGTAAATTTTCTATGCAAGATTAGCAAACTGTAGGTCTGCTCATAGGTGAACAAAAAGTTTATTTTTACGCCCTCCCAAACGAAAAAGGAAAAGTTCCATTCTTTTTGTTTATCTTTATGCCAAATTATCTGTTTAATTTTGGTCAAGAAATTGAATTAAAAAAATTCAATACTACTTATTTCATGTAATGGATAAATTTTGTCTCAGTCATCTTACCCCCAAAATATTGTCTCTAGCAAAAAGAAATATTTCAAGTTTTTTGAGTGTTGTCCATTTGTTAACTTTTTTAAAATCTATTTGCATATAATTTCTTAGGAATATATAGTGCTGTACTTGCTGAAAATTTTCTGACGATTTTTTTATATCGAAGTGCCATAAATATGTCTTAGTTTTCAGTTCTATAAACATTTACAAAAATATGTCTTTTAAAGGTGTTTTTTTTTTGTTTGCCAAAACTTATATTAAAATCATGATCTCTTATAAAAGGTTTCTCTAGATAAGTAAATGAAGTAAATGGAAAAATTTTATTATGTTCAAAATAGTTTCATCAAATTTCAAGAGAGATGTAGTATTTCAAACTTAATATTTTATTAAAAATTTATTAAAACTTATATTTTTTATTTCCATGCAATTATTTAACAAAAAATCATTTTATTTTGAAATGATTATTTTTTTTTCTCATCTATTTCATTGATGCCATATCAACTTGTTACTTTCTCAATTGTTTACATGACAAACTGTTAAAATTATTTGTGATATTATAATGTTAGTGTGTAGTTTTAGTCATTTGTTAACAGTGGTTTTTAATAAGTGTCATCTTTTTTTCATTATTTTTAAATCCAATCTCTGCTATGTTTATTTTTTTAATATTAAATGAGACATGACACAGTTAAAATTAAAACCAAAGTCTTTCTAGCCCATCTGTATACTACGCAGGTTAACTAATGTGTTCTGTCTTTAGTTGGTGCTTTGTTACAAATTTTTCATTTCTATTTTTGTTTTTGTCTTTGTTAGATGCATTTAAAATGTGTCTTTACAATTTAATTTGCCGGATGAACACCCATGTTTTCAGAAGCCTTTAATATGTTTTCGAACTTTGAAAATAAGGAAATTGATACATTGACAATGCAGTTTTAAATTTATACAAAATTTTCTGTCAAGCCGATGATGTATTTGAAAGAAATTTTAATTTGAAAATGAATTTGAAACATAAAACTGCATGTTTAAAGGTAAAACAGACCAGGAATAAGTTGTGTCTCTCCTACCAGCATATTTTTTAAGTTTTAATTACTTTTTATTCTCAAGCAGAGATTGGATATTTCATTTGTATAAAACAAACTTGTTGAATGATCACATTATATTAGTCTTAAACGCTGTGTGTTAAACATGCAGCATGGAATGTGTTCTTTGTTGTATGAATGTTACCATAATTATTATGACATGTATATATATTTTTTGATTACTCCAATTCATGCATTGGTTATATGGATAGAAAAAAAGGAACATCAAATGTTCGCTTTCAAGATATTTTGGTGTAAAATTATAGAGATTTTGTCTCGGGCAAAGTTTTTTATATAAGAAATCCGAGAAGTCTAAGCTTGCATACCAGTAGTGTCAAACAATTAACGGTATGAACCATTATAAATGTAAATGGCTTTGTTTGCTTAAGTGTGAACAATTGAGGTGCAATTATCTATGTTTGAACAAGCTTGAAATGAATTGTGTTTAATTTTTTTTTCGTTAATTCAAATTTTTAGAAATAAGTAGTTTTTCAGTGTTTGATTTGTACAGCAAAATCACAAAATTCAGAAAAAAATATTAATTTATATTATTGGAGGGAATGTTGGAAAGATAATATTCCCTGTCAAGATTTGTTCTTGCATAGATAGAATCTCAATTGTTCAAAGAACTGTCAAACAGTTCTCTCAGCAAGTGCCCATCAGTATATTTAGCAGCTGCTTCTGAAAATGAAATTTTAATTGTGTGTTGTAATAGTTGGTCATCCAATCAGATTTGCTGTTTCAAAACTAAACAAATTGGAGCAGTTAAAAGATGGCAGGCCATTGGATTTTAGAATTACATCTAGTTGGATAAATCTGATTGGATTGTCAATAGCTAACTAAAATTGATTCAAAGAATGTGAAAATATCTTGGAAGGATTATCAATACTGGTTGTTAGGAATAATTATTCACGGCTTAATTTTTAACAACTTAAATGGTAAAATTATGCATGCCTTGTAGTTCATATCAGCAGCCATCATATTATATATCTTTGTCAGCCGGTGATGGTTTTATTTGAACTCACAAAAACAACATCATTTATTATTTACATAATGATTTTGTGCTAATTTTGCACACAGATCCACTTACAGAGCTATAACATGTAGAATTGCTTAAGCTTATTTGCTATAAATGCGTCCATAAGGACATCATGTTGCTTACAGTGTGTTGTTTGCTTTAGCTTGTAAAGGACTCTGAAAGAGAAGCATAAATAAATATATGATTTAGAATATAACCATTATACATACTAGTAAACTGTGTTGTGCTCTTTTTCTGCATGATCTCACTTCCTTTGTCCTTTTGCAGTGAGCTCCGGCTCAAGGTTTTAGAGTGTTCTTATATTTACACCTAGCAAGAATTTCCAGCCGACACGGCATCTTTTAGATGCATTGTGTCAACATTTGCCTTTAAATCAGCAGTCTTGGTATTCGAACAAAAGGCATATGTAGTGAAAACTAAATGCCTTTACTACAAAAGTAGGTCTCTCTTTTTTCTCTGAAATGTAATGTTTGTATGCAGAAATAACACAAGCAATTTAGAATGCTGGTTTATACTCGAAACTGGTCACTTTTTAATCCAACTTTATTTCAAGTCTGGCTATTTTTAATATCTAGATTAAGATTAAACTAAATCGACTAATTGCAAGAATATTTGTTCACACCATGCTGTGACCATGTTGGAGACATCATTGCAAATTATCAAAAATAACATCAAAACAAAACAAAAGATTCTATGATAAAGCATTGGTTTTCACTTTTGATAGGGCATTTAAGAATATGTGTTCAACTGAAAAGGAATATATTCATATATATTTCTGACCTGGCCCACAGACCAACACCAGAACTGCATTTATATAATGCCTTTTGTTTGAATACCATCAGTTCTTTTCTCTGTTCATTAACTTAGAATGTGGAAAGCTTTGGAACAAATGGTGTAGATTTCCTGTTTAAAACAGTAGCTGGTGCAATGTGTGTGTCGGTTTGTTGGTAATAATATTATTTGCAAGTCACAATTTGAAGACACATTGACTAAAAATTGGTCTTCTTAGATTTGGTGCTAAGTTTCATGTGTGTATTTCTACAAATGTTCGGAATTGACCCGGTGTCCATGTTCAAATTCATAAATTTGTATAATATATTTCCTTTTATAAAAAGAGTCATAATAAAATTTAGTTCGCACATTAGTTACAGATAGTCTTTGGTCAGATTGTATGCTGGATAAATCCAGTGTTTCCCTTCTGTGCTGAAGGTAAAGTAGCCCCGAGACCCTTGAGCTACAATTTTCTACGTACAGTACAGGATAATATTGCACTGTGAAAGGAAAGTTTGCGGTGGCACTTAGAAGGTACTTTGGGAAATGCTTATTTTTTTCTTGTAACTTGCTGCTGGCGCGCAGAAAAGCTTTTAAAGATTTGCTTTTAATACCAGCTATGTATTACATGCATTTATGTTAAAACATTTTGCTCACTCTCAATTGATACTTCTGGCAGTGTCGCCTAAATTAATCTTGCCAAAATTATAACCACGTGTTCATCAGTAGAGGGCCCACCGATTAGCTTTGTAGTGGTGCTATTTTATTGGTTCAGTAGCTTAAAGATATTTTGTAAAAATCTTCAATATTCCAAAATGATCTCAGAAGTTTTATATCTTTATTTGTTTAGTTGAATCTCTATGTGTTTATGTTCAGTTCCCAAAATATTTCCTGGGTGCCAACGAAGGAAGAAAAAGTTGTGAATATCTGCAGTCGGAAGGCTAGCAAACAAGGGCAATGCCACGCTTAAAAGGCTTACACCTGCAACCAATCAAATGTAGGATTGGCAATTAGCCCAGGATAGTTGAATGTTTACCCAGCATGCATTTCAGTAGGTTGCACTTGACATGCTGGCACCTTTCTGTTGTAGATGTTATTGTAAGACCAAAGACGTGTCTTCCAGTGTACTTGTCAAAGACCCGAGTCAGACTCGGTATATTTTTCGTTGTTAATTTATCTGAATCATTGTTTATGATTTTTGTTAAGATTATTGTGTACATAATTATTTTGGTTAATGGATATCTTTTTTTTAATTAAACCAAAACGGTAGTGATTAATTTTTTCACTTTTCATTTTTTTTTCACGGAAGTTTTTCCAAATCGTCACCAAGTGATGTACAAATTTAATCGTTCTTAATATATAAAATTTAAAGTGATTTAAACTGCCTTTTTAGATTATTTAGTGCCATTACTCGTTGAAATGAATAGACCACTGTGCGCTTTAAAATGCTGTTAAGTTTTGACACTGATCAATAAAGTAGGTTCTAAAACCGGTAAATGAAAGCGATCGCTACTCGGACTGTTATGTTTTCTCTCAGACTGATAGAAAACAATATTTGAAATTCCCTCAAACTATATGTCACAATTGACTGGTTACACCTTTATTTGCAAAGGCTATCTTCATTTGTAATCCAGGTCTTAATGAGTGAGCAAAATTAGTCACGTTCGTTCAAGTGTAGTATACCCCAAACAACTCTTTTGTAATACAAAAGGATGGCTTATTGAAGGTTCCATTTACTTTACTGCATAAATGTAAATCTTGAACTAGGAGTAGGCGGCATTTTGTGTCCTACACTCGATTTTCATGTCAAATTTCTGGTCTTGGGTAAAACTATACCAAATGAGTCGATCTAGAAAGATGTTCCGATTTGTCTCTCTACAGATTTATAATAAAAAATAAAATGTACTCAATGTCGACGTATTCAACATCTAAATATACTTGCACCATTAAGGGACATTATAATAGATGCAACGATAAGTTGTCAGCTTTGAATAGCAGTTACTTAACTTGGATTCTATACAGTAGAGCTTCTAGACAAAAATTCTTGAGCGCACATATTTGCAAAACTCAAGTCAATACTATCATGATCTTTGAACCGAAAAACGAAATAAAAATGTAATTGTTCAATACAGTTTTTTGCAAATTAGCATTACATAGATCTGGATTTGCTTTTTCGAAAATAAAAAAAATAGTTACTGTAAATTCAGAAATTATAGCGAGGTTTTTATTAATGCGAATAATGTGATTGAGTGAGTATCGCAATAATAAGAACTCGCATTCTGATATCTGATATAAAAAACTGTATGCAGATTTTCCTGAATAATTAATCTCTCATGTTTGTCCTTTCCACAAAAATCGCATTAATGAATGCACGCAATAATTTCTGAATTTACAGTAGATGAATTCCTTGCACTCGATGCGAGTTTATGATAAAGACCCTAATCAGGAAAGGGGACCTAAAATAATATTACGTCCCAGTCTGGCAAGCTCGTGATATATATATATATATATATATATATATATTGGACAAATGACAATTAATGTTTGCTTTATTAGCACTTCTCTTAATCAGCTTCTATGTTGAGCGAACGATAATATCAGTATAGTTACATTTTACGTTATACATTTCATTTTGTGTCCTTTTTCGCGTCAGCGTTTAAAAAATATCGATCGCTTAAGAAATCAAATCAAATCTAAAATTCTTTTCGAAGTCGGCGTGTCATATAAAAATAACATAGGATCTTTTGAGCTTTGATAATCGTCACATGCATACATATACGCAAGACATACAAAGAGAGGCGAAAGATAACAAAAGTATACCCAAACTTATTAGTCGAAAAAAACTGACAATGCCAAGGCAAAAATCGAAAAACGACCAATAGACAAACAACAGTATACAAAACACATAATAGAAAACCAAAGACTGAACAACAGAAAACACCACAAAAAAACTGGTGCACCGGACGGGTAAGCAGATCCTGCTCCATATGTGAAACCCGTCGTGTGCCTCTTGTAAAATCGAGGAAAAAGGGACGTGATTGTGGTTACAACAATTGGAATATATCCGCCATCATCTGTGAAACAAATATTCCATAACGGTCAACCAAATCATGATGGCGTCCGTAAAACTTTCTAAGGGTTGCTTTCAAACTCACCATTTGAAACTCTTGGTTTAATGGCTTCCTTGATAGCAACAACACTCTATCAAGGAAATCATGATACGAAATGCAAGCTCCGGAATATCGTATCCACTGGGAGATACTCCATATACAGGCGCTGCTGGAATGTTGCTACATAGAAATGGAAGGTTCAGAATTTGGAAGCTGAAATGACCTCATTTGTTGGAAAGTTTTGTTCTCAACCGACTCTCATTGTTAATTTCTAGATGTAAGTCTAAGATATGACGCAGACTTGACTGTATCTGTGATATCCTTTATTTCAAGTTCGATGGGTTAGATGCGTTCAAACTTATTAGGTGGGAGGACATCATCTGTATAGCGAAACATGAAGTAAGGATAATGCTAGCTTCATTTGCTTCTTTTTATTCTTTCTAAGAAGCTCTTGCATAAAGTCAGCCTCATATGAATAAATGAACAAGTCAGCAAGAAGAGGAGCACAGTTGGTTCCCAAGGGAATTCTGATAGTTTCTTGAAAATTATCTGTATACCAAAACATGAAGTAAGGATAATGGTAGCTTCTTTTGCCTCTTTTTTATTCTTTCTAAGAAGCTCTTGCATATAATCAGCTTCATATGAATAAATGAGCAAGTCGTCAAGAAGAGGAGCACAGTAGGTTCCCATGGGAATTCGGCTAGTTTCTTGAAAATCTCGTTCTCCAAACGTAACGAATTTGTTGCTAATCAGGAAATCAACCATCTTGATAATGTCAATATTAGAGACTTTTTTGTTTGAATCAGAGTTATTTATACAAAGTACGATTTATCCATCCATATGACAGGATACTTGTATCTACGTTGGCCATTCTTATTTATGAATCAAAGCAAGGCCTATTCTTTCAATATGTCTTTTAATTTAGAATGTGGAATACTTCGGTAAGGGTAGAAAGTATGAAACAAAGCAAGGCCTATTCTTTCAATATGTCTTTTAATTTGGAATGTGGAATACTTCGGTAAGGGTAGAAAAGTCAAATATTTAAATACTATTGCAAGAGGAAAGAGACTTATATTGTATGTACTCTAAAAGATCTGTGGATTTTTTTTGTATCCACATCTTATTCACGCCGCCTCTGAAGAACGTAGTTCCACAATAACTCTAAAGCCCGGCTTTGATTGCTGATAAGGTTGATGTTAATAATTCAGTAAAAGGTTTTGTGGAACACATGGAATAGCAAGCAATATAACGTTGTTTGAAACAACACATGTGTAATTTAGGTATCCAATACAGTAAATGAAGATCCAGTTCTTTATCTTCCGTTGAAATTCCAAAGGACCATAGAACAGACCTATGACTATACAGGATTTCCTCCTTAGTAAGTGTCGTGGGGTATATGGTGGGTTTCCAAGTGAATTGTCAATACATAATTCCTTTATCAAGCAGTTTGTGTAATGTGATTTACACACAGAAACGATGTTGTTTTGGGCTTTTTCTGCTGGGACAATAACATATTTGCCATGTAGGTACGAAAGGTGTTTAGCAACATTTGAGTCTTTAAAGATCGGTATAGCATCTGTATACATAGACCCATATTAATTCTAGTTTGTATCAACGACCTCAAAGCCTTAACCCATTTGGAAAGAGTATTGTATGTCTTACTGTTTGCGTTTAGCATATTGCCTGTCATTATCCTCGACTGAATCCATCAGTATTTTGAAGTTGTGTTTCTATTTGGTTGATTTGGGGTAACGATATTTCAGGCCTTTAAATGACACATATCGGAAAAAAGTGTTATTGGTAATGTTCAGGTCAGCAGTAATAACATGGCAAACCGGAATATATATGAATGGGGAACTAGCACAGGTGCAATCAGGGAGTTTAGACCTATTGAAATCCTGCAACATGTGTTTGTAAATGAACATTTTGTTTGCAATTAGTTTTGTATAGGCGTTAGAGATGATAGGTACACACCGATCTCTAAAGTAGGGATGCATTTTCGAGTGAATAAATTTATGATGAACGATATTGCCTAAGTTGATTACATCGATATTTTTAAATGCAAAGGAAAGTTTTAGAAAGGACCTTTTCTCCTTTTCATCTTTTCCAAAACCGATCTGAAAAGTCTGTGACTGGCAATATCCGTGATGATAGCTGTAAGTTTGTATTGGTTTGAAAGGGGTTTGTAATGGTGGTTTCCAAACATAAGTTCAGAGAAACATACGTACAAGGAATCAGGTTTTGATAAACCTTTGTACGAATGTGATAAATACCCAACAACTTTTTTTATAGAATGGCAGACGGTCGTTTATATAGAGACATCACGGAGAGTAGGTGATGTATAATGACGATGACCATAACTACGTCTACGTTCAGGAGCAGAGTTTGAAATATGGAGTTGAAATTAATAATACACAACACTGATATTACAGGATAAAGTCCATTAAACATATCTATTATGCACAAATCAAAAATGGGCTTTGCTCATTGTTGAAGGTCGTACGGTGACCTATAGTTGTTAATTTCGTTTTCATTTGGTCTCTTGTGGAGAGTTGTTTCATTGGCAATCTTACCACATCTTCTTATTTCTATTAGTTAAATAAGATGTGCACAGTAATTTACCTTCTATAAGCTATTAAAGCAGCAACAACAAAAAACCAAAGCAACTTACGGTAATTATAAAAACAAATAGAAGAAGAATGTGTCTGAGGACACGAACTTTGCAATTTTCCAAATTAAAAAGGGCATAACTCTAGAAAAATAAATGACTCACAGTGTGGTGTATTTCTTAGCATTGTGTATGAGTTTCATTAAATTTGCATCAGGCAAACTTGAGTTAGAATACGGAAACTAAAATGTGACGGACGGAAAGACAAAAGAACAGAAAGACGGGCGGTCAAGGGTAACACTTAATGCCTCCTTCACCTACGGTGGAGGCATTACTAAACATGTTTTGGTGGAAGTTTAATATAAATAACAATACTATATAGTTGAAAACAGCAACATAATAAACAAACAAAACACAATGATAGACAACGGCTACGAAAGAAAAATTAAACATAAAGCGTCAAGATTAAGTTTCAGGATATAAACAACCTTTATACATGGTCGAGAAATACAATATTAATTGCACCCGCTACGAAACATAAGGATTACGTTGCTTAATACCCAGGCACTGGCACAGGAAATTGTTCTCTCGTATACACTTTTTATATGCATCTAAAATTGAGAATGGAAACAAGGAATGTGTCAAAGAGACAACAACCCGACT